TGTGTCCGCTCGGCCGCCTACGGGAGTCGGCGTACGAGACCCGGCGGCCGAGCGGACAGCACTCTGGTCATGTAATCCTGTCGTCCCGGGTTCGATCCCTGGCGCCGGCGAGAAACGAGGGACAGAGTTTCTTTCACCCTATGGCCCTGTTACCTAGCAGTAAATAGTTACCTGAGAGTAATTCAGCTGTCATGGGCTGGTTCCTGGTGTGTGTGTGTGTGTGTGTGTGTGTGTGGTATGGGGGAAAAAAAAGTAGTAGTATTAGTAGAAACAGTTGATTGACAGTTGAGAGACTGGCCGAAAGAGCAGAGCTCATCCCCCACGAGCACAACTAGGTGAATACAACTAGGAGAATACACACACATACACACACACACACACACACACACACACACACACACACACACACACACACACACACACACACACACACACACACACACACACACACTCACACACACACACACACAGCTGGGGGTGCTGGTGGCTGAGTGGACACACACACACTCACACACCCTTCCTGTCTCCACACACTCACTACGTGTGATATATCAATGAGAAAATCAGTAGGAGCCATGAGGAGGATTCGAACCTTCTCATGGCTCTTGCTGCCTACATACATTAATATATATCTATATATATATATATGTATATATATATATATATATATATATATATATATATATATATATATATATATATATATATATATATATATATATATATATATATATATGCAAACAAGCCTGAATGGTCCCCAGGACTATATACAACTGAAAACTCACACCCCAGAAGTGACTCGAACCCATACTCCCACAACTGGTATGTACAGGGACGCCTTAATCCGCTTGACCATCACGACCGGACAAAAGGAAGTGATAGCCGAGGCTATATGAACCACTTCCCCGCCGGCACTCGGATGGTAATCTTGGGCATAGCATTTTATCAAATCACCTCATTCTTTGGGGCACACGTGAGGAACACAAATGCAAACAAGCCTGAATGGTCCCCAGGACTATATACAACTGAAAACTCACACCCCAGAAGTGACTCGAACCCATACTCCCACAACTGGTATGTACAGGGACGCCTTAATCCGCTTGACCATCACGACCGGACAAAAGGAAGTGATAGCCGAGGCTATATGAACCACTTCCCCGCCGGCACTCGGATGGTAATCTTGGGCATAGCATTTTATCAAATCACCTCATTCTTTGGGGCACACGTGAGGAACACAAATGCAAACAAGCCTGAATGGTCCCCAGGACTATATACAACTGAAAACTCACACCCCAGAAGTGACTCGAACCCATACTCCCACAACTGGTATGTACAGGGACGCCTTAATCCGCTTGACCATCACGACCAGACAAAAGGAAGTGATAGCCGAGGCTATATGAACCACTTCCCCGCCGGCACTCGGATGGTAATCTTGGGCATAGCATTTTATCAAATCACCTCATTCTTTGGGGCACACGTGAGGAACACAAATGCAAACAAGCCTGAATGGTCCCCAGGACTATATACAACTGAAAACTCACACCCCAGAAGTGACTCGAACCCATACTCCCACAACTGGTATGTACAGGGACGCCTTAATCCGCTTGACCATCACGACCGGACAAAAGGAAGTGATAGCCGAGGCTATATGAACCACTTCCCGCCGGCACTCGGATGGTAATCTTGGGCATAGCATTTTATCAAATCACCTCATTCTTTGGGGCACACGTGAGGAACACAAATGCAAACAAGCCTGAATGGTCCCCAGGACTATATACAACTGAAAACTCACACCCCAGAAGTGACTCGAACCCATACTCCCACAACTGGTATGTACAGGGACGCCTTAATCCGCTTGACCATCACGACCGGACAAAAGGAAGTGATAGCCGAGGCTATATGAACCACTTCCCCGCCGGCACTCGGATGGTAATCTTGGGCATAGCATTTTATCAAATCACCTCATTCTTTGGGGCACACGTGAGGAACACAAATGCAAACAAGCCTGAATGGTCCCCAGGACTATATACAACTGAAAACTCACACCCCAGAAGTGACTCGAACCCATACTCCCACAACTGGTATGTACAGGGACGCCTTAATCCGCTTGACCATCACGACCGGACAAAAGGAAGTGATTTGAGGTGAAGAATGAGGTGATTTGATAAAATGCTATGCCCAAGATTACCATCCGAGTGCCGGCGGGGAAGTGGTTCATATAGCCTCGGCTATCACTTCCTTTTGTCCGGTCGTGATGGTCAAGCGGATTAAGGCGTCCCTGTACATACCAGTTGTGGGAGTATGGGTTCGAGTCACTTCTGGGGTGTGAGTTTTCAGTTGTATATAGTCCTGGGGACCATTCAGGCTTGTTTGCATTTGTGTTCCTCACGTGTGCCCCAAAGAATGAGGTGATTTGATAAAATGCTATGCCCAAGATTACCATCCGAGTGCCGGCGGGGAAGTGGTTCATATAGCCTCGGCTATCACTTCCTTTTGTCCGGTCGTGATGGTCAAGCGGATTAAGGCGTCCCTGTACATACCAGTTGTGGGAGTATGGGTTCGAGTCACTTCTGGGGTGTGAGTTTTCAGTTGTATATAGTCCTGGGGACCATTCAGGCTTGTTTGCATTTGTGTTCCTCACGTGTGCCCCAAAGAATGAGGTGATTTGATAAAATGCTATGCCCAAGATTACCATCCGAGTGCCGGCGGGGAAGTGGTTCATATAGCCTCGGCTATCACTTCCTTTTGTCCGGTCGTGATGGTCAAGCGGATTAAGGCGTCCCTGTACATACCAGTTGTGGGAGTATGGGTTCGAGTCACTTCTGGGGTGTGAGTTTTCAGTTGTATATAGTCCTGGGGACCATTCAGGCTTGTTTGCATTTGTGTTCCTCACGTGTGCCCCAAAGAATGAGGTGATTTGATAAAATGCTATGCCCAAGATTACCATCCGAGTGCCGGCGGGGAAGTGGTTCATATAGCCTCGGCTATCACTTCCTTTTGTCCGGTCGTGATGGTCAAGCGGATTAAGGCGTCCCTGTACATACCAGTTGTGGGAGTATGGGTTCGAGTCACTTCTGGGGTGTGAGTTTTCAGTTGTATATAGTCCTGGGGACCATTCAGGCTTGTTTGCATTTGTGTTCCTCACGTGTGCCCCAAAGAATGAGGTGATTTGATAAAATGCTATGCCCAAGATTACCATCCGAGTGCCGGCGGGGAAGTGGTTCATATAGCCTCGGCTATCACTTCCTTTTGTCCGGTCGTGATGGTCAAGCGGATTAAGGCGTCCCTGTACATACCAGTTGTGGGAGTATGGGTTCGAGTCACTTCTGGGGTGTGAGTTTTCAGTTGTATATAGTCCTGGGGACCATTCAGGCTTGTTTGCATTTGTGTTCCTCACGTGTGCCCCAAAGAATGAGGTGATTTGATAAAATGCTATGCCCAAGATTACCATCCGAGTGCCGGCGGGGAAGTGGTTCATATAGCCTCGGCTATCACTTCCTTTTGTCCGGTCGTGATGGTCAAGCGGATTAAGGCGTCCCTGTACATACCAGTTGTGGGAGTATGGGTTCGAGTCACTTCTGGGGTGTGAGTTTTCAGTTATATATATATATATATATATATTAGTATATTTTGGTAGCAGTCTTTCCTGTAGACATATATTATTAAATGTGACCGAAAAAGTAAGATTAATAATTCTAACACGAATTTTCTCAATATTTCTTATGGTTATTTCCCCTGTTGATGGTAATTGAAAAATCAATTCTCCAAAATTCATTTTTATTTCTAGTCTGACGTGACACTTGAACGCGTTTCGTAATAACTTATTACATTTTCAAAGACTTTAGTTTACACACACACACAACTATAACTTTGCAAACGCTAAACAGAGTTTAAACAACTTTCATTTTATTCCTGCATTTGGGTGAGGTGATATGTTACAACAGTTTTGGATGAGGTGAAAACAAACTTTCAACACAAGACAGAACACGAAACAATGGGTATAATAATTTGTAAGTTAAAGGGAAGAATGGAAGTAACTGCAAAGGGCCTATTGGCCCATATTTCTTGATGCTTCTATATTGGTGCGGAGTCTTGAAGTGGGTAGAATGCACAACTATATTCTACCCACTTCAAGACTCCGCACAGATTCAAGACTTTTTTTCACATCTCCCGTCCACGAGGCTAACCATAGCTCGTGCTTCTTGCCCCGCTCCTGTGCCAGGTAAGTTACGGGCTCACCATAGCCCGTGCTACTTGGAACTTGTTCCGAGTAGCTGAATCTATAACAACAACAACAAACTCTGTTTAGCGTTTGCAAAGTTATAGTTGTGTGTGTGTGTAAACTAAAGTCTTTGAAAATGTAATAAGTTATTACGAAACGCGTTCAAGTGTCGTGTCAGACTAGAAATAAAAATGAATTTTGGAGAATTGATTTTTCAATTACCATCAACAGTGAAAAAAAACATAAGAAATATTGATAAAATTCGTGTTAGAATTATTAATCTTACTTTTTCGGTCATATTTAATAATATATATATATATATATATATATATATATATATATATATATATATATATATATATATATATATATATATATATATATATATATATTGGTGAATGTTAGCAGCAGGTTGTCATTTAAACATGTTTCACTGAATATGACAGCATAGTCCCAGTTGATTATTTTCTTGTTTAGGGCTTCTGTCCCTCTGACTAGTGCTCTTGCATCTGGGTTTAAGTTAATTGGAAGGAGGGATTTCTCTACATGTCATATTTGTTCAAGGTTGACTAAAAGAAAACAAATTAACTCTATAATGTATTATAATTATTATAATTTACACAATGTTTCGAACCTACATGATTCATTCTCAAGTGAGGAGACAGAAGGCAACATCCTATTTATATCACTGGGATCTAAAGACACTCTCGTTAACCACAGAGGGTTTTGTCAGCCACACTCACAAAACAAAGAACAGTCGTAGAAAAGACTTACTAACCTTTAGTCTTCCAGGGCTGTGGGCCACACTGAATGTTCCTTCCATTGATGACCTCAGCTGCTTCCAAGATTTTAATGAAGGAATCCTCAGCTCAACGAAGCCAGACACGTGATGTTCTTCATCAACAAGCATGTAGGATCCTGTGCCTTCAAAGTTAAGAGAAGTGGTGCCCAAGCTGCCGACCACCTCAACGTTGATGGTGGTGCCATCCCAGGCTCCCACTGTCTTAACATTGACCGGCTCCCAGTAGCTGGCCGCAGAGAACGCCTTCACCTGGACATACAAAGTTGCCAACTATTATACGCTATATTGTTTATAACAATATGAATGTTAACATCTGAATGTTAAGTAGAGTAGGAGAGTTTAATATGGTGTCATCTGAATGTTTTAGAGAAGGAGGGTTTAACATGGTGCCATCAAAATATGTGGAGAAGGTTGATTTAAGATAGTGACATGTGAATGTTCAGTAGAGAAAAACATTTAACAAGGTGCCATCTCAATATTTAGCAGAGAAGGAGAGTTTATGTAGGAGAGATCTAAATGTTTAACAGAAAAGGCGTGAGGGTTTAAGATAGTGGCATCCGAATGTTTAGGAGAGAATGAGGGTTTAGGACAGTGACATCTTAATGCTTAGAAGAGAAAGACAATATAAGTTAGAGACATTCAAATGTTTAATAGAGAAGAAAGGATTATGATAGTGACATTTGAATGTTTAGTAAGGAAGGAGGTAATTTAGAAGTGTTTATTCCTCATCAAGTGTTGGTTCCTTAACTAGTGATGGTCCCTTAACTAATGATGGTCCCTTTACTAGTGATGGTCCCTTAACTAGTGATGGTCCCTCCACTAGTGATGGTCCCTCCACTGGTGATGGTCCCTCCACTAGTGATGGTCCCTTAACTAATGATGGTCCCTTTACTAGTGATGGTCCCTTAACTAGTGATGGTCCCTCCACTAGTGATTGTCCCTCCACTGGTGATGGTCCCTTTACTAGTGATGGTCCCTTAACTAGTGATGGTCCCTCCACTAGTGATGGTCCCTTAACTAGTGATGGTCCCTCCACTAGTGATGGTCCCTCCACTAGTGATGGTCCCTCCACTAGTGATGGTCCCTTAACTAGTGATGGTCCCTCCACTAGTGATGGTCCCTCCACTAGTGATGATCCCTCCACTAGTGATGGTCCCTTAACTAGTGATGGTCCCTCCACTAGTGATGGTCCCTCCACTAGTGATGGTCCCTTAACTAGTGATGGTCTCTCCACTAGTGATGGTCCCTTAACTAGTGATGGTCCCTCCACTAGTGATGATCCCTCCACTAGTGATGGTCCCTTAACTAGTGATGGTCCCTCCACTAGTGATGGTCCCTCCACTAGTGATGATCCCTCCACTAGTGATGGTCCCTTAACTAGTGATGGTCCCTCCACTAGTGATGGTCCCTCCACTAGTGATGGTCCCTCCACTAGTGATGGTCCCTCCACTAGTGATGATCCCTCCACTAGTGATGGTCCCTCCACTAGTGATGGTCCCTCCACTAGTGATGATCCCTCCACTAGTGATGGTCCCTCCACTAGTAATGATCCCTCCACTAGTGACGGTCCCTCCACTGGTGATGGTCCCTCCACTAGAGATGGTCCCTCCACTAGTGATGATCCCTCCACTAGTGATGGTCCCTCCACTAGTGATGGTCCCTCCACTAGTGATGGTCCCTCCACTAGTGACGATGCCTCCACTAGTGATGGTCCCTCCACTAGTAATGATCCCTCCACTTGTGATGGTCCCTCCACTAGTGATGGTCCCTCCACTAGTGATGATCCCTCCACTAGTGATGGTCCCTTAACTAGTGATGGTCCCTCCACTAGTGATGGTCCCTCCACTAGTGATGGTCCCTTAACTAGTGATGGTCTCTCCACTAGTGATGATCCCTCCACTAGTGATGGTCCCTCCACTAGTGATGATCCCTCCACTAGTGATGATCCCTCCACTAGTGATGGGCCCTCCAATAGTGATGGTCCCTTAACTAGTGATGGTCCCTCCACTAGTGATGATCCCTCCACTAGTGATGGTCCCTTAACTAGTGATGGTCCCTCCACTAGTGATGATCCCTCCACTAGTGATGGTCCCTCCATTAGTGATGATCCCTCCACTAGTGATAATCCCTCCACTAGTGATGGTCCCTCCACTAGTGATGGTCCCTTAACTAGTGATGATCCCTCCACTAGTGATGGTCCCTCCACTAGTGATGATCCCTCCACTAGTGATGATCCCTCCACTAGTGATGATCCCTCCACTAGTGATGGTCCCTCCACTAGTGATGGTCCCTTAACTAGTGATGGTCCCTTAACTAGTGATGGTCCCTCCACTAGTGATGGTCCCTTAACTAGTGATGGTCCCTCCACTAGTGATGATCCCTCCACTAGTGATGGTCCCTTAACTAGTGATGGTCCCTTAACTAGTGATGGTCCCTCCACTAGTGATGATCCCTCCACTAGTGATGGTCCCTTAACTAGTGATGGTCCCTTAACTAGTGATGGTCCCTCCACTAGTGATGATCCCTCCACTAGTGATGGTCCCTTAACTAGTGATGGTCCCTCCACTAGTGATGATCCCTCCACTAGTGATGGTCCCTCCATTAGTGATGATCCCTCCACTAGTGATAATCCCTCCACTAGTGATGGTCCCTCCACTAGTGATGGTCCCTTAACTAGTGATGATCCCTCCACTAGTGATGGTCCCTCCACTAGTGATGATCCCTCCACTAGTGATGATCCCTCCACTAGTGATGATCCCTCCACTAGTGATGGTCCCTCCACTAGTGATGGTCCCTTAACTAGTGATGGTCCCTTAACTAGTGATGGTCCCTCCACTAGTGATGGTCCCTCCACTAGTGATGGTCACTCCACTAGTGATGGTCCCTTAACTAGTGATGGTCCCTCCACTAGTGATGGTCCCTCCACTAGTGATGATCCCTCCACTAGTGATGGTCCCTTAACTAGTGATGGTCCCTCCACTAGTGATGGTCCCTCCACTAGTGATGGTCCCTTAACTAGTGATGGTCCCTTAACTAGTGATGGTCCCTTAACTAGTGATGGTCCCTTAACTAGTGATGATCCCTCCACTAGTGATGATCCCTCCACTAGTGATGGTCCCTTAACTAGTGATGGTCCCTCCACTAGTGATGGGCCCTTAACTAGTGATGGTCCCTCCACTAGTGATGGTCCCTCCACTAGTGATGGTCCCTCCACTAGTGATGGTCCCTCCACTAGTGATGGTCCCTCCACTAGTGATGGTCCCTCCACTAGTGATGGTCCCTTAACTAGTGATGGTCCCTCCACTAGTGATGATCCCTCCACTAGTGATGGTCCCTTAACTAGTGATGGTCCCTCCACTAGTGATGATCCCTCCACTAGTGATGGTCCCTCCATTAGTGATGATCCCTCCACTAGTGATAATCCCTCCACTAGTGATGGTCCCTCCACTAGTGATGGTCCCTTAACTAGTGATGATCCCTCCACTAGTGATGGTCCCTCCACTAGTGATGATCCCTCCACTAGTGATGATCCCTCCACTAGTGATGATCCCTCCACTAGTGATGGTCCCTCCACTAGTGATGGTCCCTTAACTAGTGATGGTCCCTTAACTAGTGATGGTCCCTCCACTAGTGATGATCCCTCCACTAGTGATGGTCCCTTAACTAGTGATGGTCCCTTAACTAGTGATGGTCCCTCCACTAGTGATGGTCCCTCCACTAGTGATGGTCCCTCCACTAGTGATGGTCCCTTAAGTGATGTCCCTTAACTAGTGATGGTCCCTCCACTAGTGATGGTCCCTCCACTAGTGATGATCCCTCCACTAGTGATGGTCCCTTAACTAGTGATGGTCCCTCCACTAGTGATGGTCCCTCCACTAGTGATGGTCCCTTAACTAGTGATGGTCCCTTAACTAGTGATGGTCCCTTAACTAGTGATGGTCCCTTAACTAGTGATGATCCCTCCACTAGTGATGATCCCTCCACTAGTGATGGTCCCTTAACTAGTGATGGTCCCTCCACTAGTGATGGGCCCTTAACTAGTGATGGTCCCTCCACTAGTGATGGTCCCTCCACTAGTGATGGTCCCTCCACTAGTGATGGTCCCTCCACTAGTGATGGTCCCTTAACTAGTGATGGTCCCTCCACTAGTGATGGTCCCTTAACTAGTGATGGTCCCTCCACTAGTGATGGTCCCTCCACTGGTTATGGTCCCTTTACTAGTGATGGTCCCTCCACTAGTGATGGTCCCTCCACTAGTGATGGTCCCTTAACTAGTGATGGTCCCTCCACTAGTGATGGTCCCTTAACTAGTGATGGTCCCTCCACTAGTGATGGTCCCTCCACTAGTGATGGTCCCTTAACTAGTGATGGTCTCTCCACTAGTGATGATCCCTCCACTAGTGATGGTCCCTTAACTAGTGATGGTCCCTCCACTAGTGATGATCCCTCCACTAGTGATGGTCCCTTAACTAGTGATGGTCCCTCCACTAGTGATGATCCCTCCACTAGTGATGGTCCCTTAACTAGTGATGGTCCCTTAACTAGTGATGGTCCCTTAACTAGTGATGGTCCCTTAACTAGTGATGGTCCCTTAACTAGTGATGGTCCCTTAACTAGTGATGATCCCTCCACTAGTGATGATCCCTCCACTAGTGATGGTCCCTTAACTAGTGATGGTCCCTCCACTAGTGATGGTCCCTCCACTAGTGATGGTCCCTCCAATAGTGATGGTCCCTCCACTAGTGATGGTCCCTTAACTAGTGATGGTCCCTCCACTAGTAATGGTCCCTTAACTAGTGATGGTCCCTCCACTAGTGATGGTCCCTCCACTGGTTATGGTTCCTTTACTAGTGATGGTCCCTCCACTATTGATGGTCCCTCCTCTAGTGATGGTCCCTCCACTAGTGATGATCCCTCCACTAGTGATGGTCCCTTAACTAGTGATGGTCCCTCCACTAGTGATGATCTCTCCACTAGTGATGGTCCCTTAACTAGTGATGGTCCCTCCACTAGTGATGATCCCTCCACTAGTGATGGTCCCTTAACTAGTGATGGTCCCTCCACTAGTGATGATCCCTCCACTAGTGATGGTCCCTTAACTAGTGATGGTCCCTCCACTAGTGATGATCCCTCCACTAGTGAGGGTCCCTTAACTAGTGATGGTCCCTCCACTAGTGATGGTCCCTCCACTAGTGATGGTCCCTCCACTAGTGATGGTCCCTTAACTAGTGATGGTCCCTCCACTAGTG